TTGTGGGGTTGGGGGGGGGGGGGGGGGGGGGAAAGCTTGGCCAACCCTTCCTCATGTGTCTGGGAACATCTGCTATGCTGACACCCCCTTCCCCATTTATATGACTTTTGTATATTATGAAACTATATAGTTTCACTATATGAGTATATTATGAAACTATACTGAGAATCTGTGAGGGAAGAAACCCTTAACATACTATTTGCAAATTTATTTCCATTTTTTAAAGACGATAAACCTGCCATTGTTATGTATACTAAGATATACATTTTTTAACTCATATTTGCATTATTTCATTTTAGGCTGCAATTGCACAGGTGCTGGAGCATTAAGCCATAACTGTGACAGACTGACAGGGCAGTGTCCTTGCCGTGCTGGATTTCAGGGTACAGCTTGTGATCGATGTGCTACTGGCTTCTTCCATTATCCATTCTGTCAAAGTAAGCTTCTGGGGTAATCATAGGGCTGCCTAATAACAACATTTGAAAGGTGTTGATGGTGCCAAGGTGGTGGTCGTAGTGGGGGGTTGAAACACCGGATACCAAGTTTAATTGGGCTTGTAGTGTGGAGTGTGGTATATTTGAAAGAATACTGTGACTCCTAGAATACTGTGCGGCTTCTAGGAGTTGCCTCAAAATGTATTGGAAGGGAAATATCTCTACTTCCATAACTGATAGTCCAAGATATATTTATGTTCTTATATGAAATCTTTAGAGTCAATTCAATACATTTCTGAGTTTTTAAAGTGACCCTTCATCAGGGCATAATGTGCAAAACTCAAAGAGTTTCAAATAATTCCTTGATAGTAATTGTAGGTTTTGTAGAACAGGTTGTCCTAGCTGGTTCTTGTTTGTCTGTATGGATATGCATATGACATCATCATCTTGCATTGAGTCATTTCTAAGGAATTGTTTATACATTCATACATTTTCACTTACATTTTGGTGCATACAACTGACTTGAATAGAACAATGCAAGACAATGCACAACAAATGATGAACTTTTCCCAATGCACTTCAACACAGTGCAGTGTTATGAAATGTTCTGTAGAACACAATGGAACCTTGTAAAATCGTGCTCAGGGAGAGCAGATTGCACAAAGCAGTTTTGAATTTTTTTATTTGCGGAAAAGCTTTATAGGGCATCATGCTGAGCAACATGAAAACAAATGGATTTAGTTCAAAAAGAGGTCAGTCCAACCAAAACTGGTTTCAGTCTTTATTAGATGCTAGAGAGATAAACCACCCTGTGGCTCTATTTGTGAGATCTTTATGTTTGTGTTCCTGCAAAAACTGCTGTGGGCAGTATGAGTGGTCCCCACTCTTCCTGATGAATTTTTTTTTATTAGTTGTATATTATAGATAATGTAGCAGGGGATGCTGTTCAAAACTCCAAGTTGGACAGAAATTTTAGCAGGGGAATCTCACTCTTGGGGTATCCAAGAAAAGAAGCGAGAGGCTGGCTCAGACCATCAGACTCAACTTTAGACAACCAATGTTCTTTTATTGCAGTGAGCATAGGAAAGTCAGATTTGAATATAAAGCCAAGTTAATATTTGTGAGCACATGATGATAAAAACAAAAAGCTTGGCCTAATAGGTTTGCTAAGGGTGGAATGGTGCCCTATGACACCCATCATTGTGGCATGTACAGAATGTTATATTCATGTGTTTACAATCTTGAATGTATTCAATAGTAGTCAGGTGTTCCAATTAAGAGGGGGATATCATTTGGTGAACAAAGTACAAACTTATATTAAAGGGGAATAATTCTGAGGAACAAGGAACACATCCCATTCCCAAACTGTAAAAAAAAATGGTTGATTCAATTATTTTCAATGCTAATAAATATGCAGTGAAGATCACATTTCCCAGTGGGTGTCTAGTTTGTATTGGTCAGATTAAAACACACAAGCTCCAGAGTTTACATTCCCTGATAGTCAAGTGTGCCATGTTAGTCTTATGTTTAAGACAGTGATATGCAAAGTTCAGTAACTCAGAGCTGCCAACTAGATTTCTTTTACCTGATTTCTTTCTACCAAAGAGTTAACAGTTGATCTCTGGTAGTTTTAGACTACTGCACTTAGCACATGGTATTGGTCTTTCTTATTTATAAAGTCTGTCAATAGCTCAACCCATTGTCATTCCTTTCGTACTTGCTTGTCAAGACAAAACTCACCAGAACCTTCAGTGTGTAATAAAATACAGTGTATGAAAGTGTATGCAACCTCATCAATGAACTTCTTGTATTGCTCCCTTTAGTCTGTTTTATATATACAATTGAAAGCATTTTGTTATTGTAGCACTCCCTGGATTCTAGGGGCAGGATGGGCTGACATTTCACATCAAGGATGGATCCTTAGCCGGAATGTGGGATGTGTGGAGCGAAATTGGTCGCCAGCCACTTTTGGAATTTATTTTATAAGACCTTACAGAAACAGGGAGAGAGGGTATAGGGTTGCAGATATCTGAGGAATACAGAACTCCAGACTCACTAAATGCTCTCCAGCTTCACAATTTCGAGTGTCTTTGAACCAAAAATACAACGAAACTGTGTTAGACCACCATAGCCGGCAGACACTTTGAGATTTCCCCTGAGTGAGACACCAGATTTCTCTCTGAGGTCCAAGCCCATCCTGGCTTTTCTGGTACCTCCAGTAGACAAAGTTCCTCCCTGGCTCTCCATTCCAGGAATAGTTCTGGATTCCGACTGGGTCCACATTTGACCACCTGCAGGCTTCAGGCCTGGTCAGACAGCACACATGTAACACACCTCCCCCAGACAGGAGGCCCGTGGGAGAGAGTCGGTGAGGTTGGTTATTTATGTCCTCTCCCAGCATGCACCACTGGCCATGAAACTCCTAGTGATTGGCTGTAGAGACATAGCTATCCATAAAATCCCACTATTGGTTGCTCTGCTCTGTGGCAAGGCTACACCAGCAGCAGGCAGATGCAATCAATAACAGAATTCTTAGGGAAAACCAGATGAGTATAAACTATACAATCGGCCAGACTGAATGTAGCCTTAGCAAACTAAGTTTAAGTATTAGCCCACTAAGAACCAGGTGGCTACACTACAGTATGTTTGTTCAATAAGTGCAAAAGTCCTGCCAGAAATCCAGGGATATTCTGTTTCCTGTGCACTCTGCAGTGTTATCTCAGTGCTGTCGGAACTACAGAACACCCCCCATGTTATGGAAAGGAGGAGAGGAGAAGACATTCTACAGACCTAACAAACTTCTTGTCCTAGGGTAACAGTGCTATTCCTTCATAGATATAGTACAATAAGTGAGTGGTGTCAAGAAGTGTGGTACTAGCAGAATCACCAGGTGAAAAATTGCCTGAGAAAAAAGAAAAGTAATCCAGCTACTACAACTAAGAACTGTTAAGCTGCATTCTATTCATTTCTAATCATGGGTTTAGATACACTTTAATTACTCATCTAAAAAACAGTAAGAGAAATACAGCCATTTTAATCAAAAAGGAAGGAGGGATAACCAGGAAAATCAATTGAGATTAGTACTGATAAAATATAAAGGCTCATTGCTGGTCTTTCCTTTTGAAATTGCTAGTTCTTTGGCTGTGATACTGATCCAAAAGCTTTAATGCTCACGGGCAGGGCCCTCCTTACCATCTTGTCTTGAATTGTATTGTAATTGTAATGTCTTCCTTATATTGTAAAGCGCTGTGCAAACTATTGGCGCTATATAAATCCTGTATAATAATAATAATGCTTTCTGGGTCACTGACCTGGAACAGGAGTTCTAATTTGCACACTTTTTCATGGTTGCAAGTAATTCAAAGAGAACTGAGCTCAGAGACAATTAGGCATCCCCTCTATTTGGTCAATAGAGATATTCTTGAAGAGAAAGACATCCCAATGCAATAGCATTTTGAAGCATGTTTTTTTAACTTTTCAAACATTTTGCCTTCATTTTTATATACAGTTTTATTGTGAAGAATATCTGCACTAAATAGCAGAATGTGAAAAAAAGCCTCTGCTTGCTGTAATTAATGGGCTGACCTCATTGACATTTGAGTTGGGGTTACAAATTTCACATTCTTATGCAGTTTTATAGTTCCGTTCAAGTCCAAATATATATAATGAAATCATAAATTAAATTATTGTGGTATTATTTTGAAACGTACCTATTATTTGTGTTGTACTTATATTGTGCTTAATTTCCTGCCCGTGTCATGTGCAGTAATTCATTTCTTCACACTGCTCTGTGCTGTGTATAAAAGCCATTTCCTTGAATTGTGTAGGATGTGATTGTAATCCCAATGGAGTGCTCCCTGAGGTATGCAGCACTGTTGGAAAGTGCCTGTGCAAGTTTTGGGTGGAGGGGGAACGCTGTGACCAGTGTCGTCAAGGATATCACTCCTTTCCTAGCTGCTTTGGTAAGTTTTATGTGCTTTATCGGTAAGTGAATTGATGATTTAGCTGTGTTTGATCTGTACAAGTTATCTTTTTTGACTTTTCACTAAGTAACTAAATCATCATCATGAATACATCTGTTGATCGGCCATAAATCTGTTGATCGGTCATAAATCAAATGTGTTTCTTACTTGCAGTTGAAACTGAGAACACAGTGCTTTGCTGAACTAAAACTTTATGTAGCATTGTCAGCCCTGTTCACTATAGAACACCACCAACTCCTTACCCCTTACTGTCCCTCTCCACATGCATAGATTAATTTCTTCCCATCTAAAACATGCTGCAACTTTTTTACTTCCAAAAGCCCACACACACTGTGTGTAGGGAAAGAGCACACTGTGTGTAGGGAAAGAGCTCTTGGGAGATGTCATTCTGGGAGCGTGACTACATAAATAGGAACTGACCTCCCAGCAGTTGCCCCTGCAAGAATTTTAAAGCCTGGTTATGAGTAATAAAATCGGTTTCTTGTGACAAAAACGGAATATTGCTGGGACATGCTCTAGAGGCGGTTTGGGCATAAATCTGGGTTATGCTTGTACATATCCTTTTTAACACTAACACTGGACACTCAGAGGGTTATTCACAAAGCTAGCTGAAGGATCAGCCTTAGCTGAGAATAGGCCGAAAGGTAGCCTGCCGGAGGTTCAGCTCAGCCGATCCAGATGTTGGATCGGCTGAGTCGAACTCCTTCTGCACTTCAGGTCGGCCCGAGCCAAAGCAAGCTGATGTACGGCTGATTTCAGCCAATGTACAGCCTGAAGTGAATAGCTGAACAGCGTTCGGCAGCTTTGTGAATAACCCTATGGCTGGGCACACACCTTACAACCATCGCAAGACTTTTGCAGTCAGCTTCCGCTTACACCTTACAACCATCGCAAGACTTTTTGCGGTCAGCTTCCGGCATTGCGGTCAGCATCCGATGACCGCAATGCCGAATGGGCAGTGTGCGTTTGTGCACACCGGCCCGTCCGGCTTTTATCTTACGAACATGCTACACACCCACCGAAAATCGTATGATTCTCGGCGGGTTTTCGAACATGTTCGTAAGATAAAAGTCGTGCAACCTTACAGTAGTAGAGGTCGCACGGCTTCCACACACCTTACGATAATCGTATGATCACGGGATTTCCCACGATTATCGCAAGGTGTGTGGGCACCTTATCAGTGATTGAAATAAATGTGTATTGTTTTACTTGCCAGATGATTTGCATTTACACACTGCAGAATCACACAAGTGACAAATCGTCGGATGGTTCAGGTGAACACAGGCTCACATATTTATGAAGCTAAACACACATTCTCTACTTCTTTAGTAAATAATGTCTACTATATTTGAATTATCCCTTGCTGGAAGCTTTAAAATAAGTATGTACGTAAGTTTTGTTAATAAATAAACTGGAAATCATGATGCATTTTTCTCACTTTAGAATGCGACTGTGATATGTTTGGTGCTTCTAACCCAGCGTGTGGTCCTCGAGGTGAATGTTTCTGTCGCCCTAACTATGCCGGGCACACATGTAATCAATGCGCACCTAATTTCTACAGCTACCCCTTATGCCTCCGTAAGTATAAAACACAGATGTTACATGTGCCCCAGCTTCACTAAGCTGTGCTCTGCAGCAGTTAAACCTGTGCTGCTTTTATTTTTAACACATGTGGGTTTGATTATTAAAAAATTGCATAGCCTATTCATCCAGCAAAACCCCATATAAATTCATTCTGTGCAAGTTAATCAGCTTTTCTGAGAACGGGGCAAACATTTATGTTCTTAGTGTAATTTCTCTTCTGGTCAAATGTTCTTCAATAGGTATATTTATAAAGAACAGAGTGAATGGGGAAATACTGTACTGCATTATGGCCCCTAGAAGGAGCTAAAGATCATAGAAAGTAAATACATGTTAGTAAGGAGATACAATGTTTCAAAGAAGAGACCGCTGGAGAGAATAACATATAAATGTAAGCATTGATACTACAGTGATAGCAGTATTTTTATGATTATTTCCTCCTGCATTCTCTTGAATTTTGTCTTGTTACTAACATGTATTTGCGGTATTTTCCCCAATTACTCTGTTCTGTATGAATGAAACAACTGAAGAACGTTTGATGAAAGAGAAGTTACACTAAGATTCGTTTTTACCCCACTCTCGCAACAGCAGGTGACTCGAATGTGCCTGTAATTTTTTACTGGGTGAATAATATATTCAAAATAGACCCTATGGTATTGTATTTGTGTAAGAGTGAATTTATTTACGGTAAAGGAATGGAAACTCTTAAGTACTAAGTATGTGTTTGTAACATAAATTTGTAACCAAATGGTAGCGGAATTTGGAGAATTCTGTATAGAGAATAGTTTCACTAATGCTAATTTTTATTTTGTTTAGCCTGCCAGTGTTCAGCTCAAGGCTCCTTTCAAAGTACATGTAACCCTGTGACTGGGCAATGTGAATGTCGACCAGGGGTAATTGGACTAAAATGTGACAGGTGCTCATCTGAAATAGATGATTATCCATATTGTCAAGGTATATAAAAAGTTCTGGTATGATAAATTGCCCTGTATTATCAAGCTTTTTCTACATTGTATATTGAGTCAGTAAAAAAATGGAACACATACACAACCTTGTGTAAGCTGTACTGTGCTGTTTTCAAGAAACATTGGTATTCCTTGTCTCAGATTTATCTGTGCTAGAGACTGTCAGTTTGTAAAAGGCTATCATCATTGCATATAGTATGGATATACTTTTTATTTTAGAGACCTCCTTATGGTGAGCTTTAAAGCAGAGCCACTTCATATCTTAATGCCCTCTAAAAGAGGTGTTTTTCTCTCTTGTACCCTTATGTCACCAAGCCTCATCCCCCCCATCACTGTGTCTGAACCTGCCGTTGAAGGTACTAATGCATACAGAAGCATAGAAACTAAAGAGCTGCTTAGCAAAGTGGTAGCTAAAAGGTTGTTAGGCCTTCTTCCTGCAAATATAGCCAGCAGACTATGCGTTTCACATTTGTTGAGGTTGTATATATGGGATATTGTATATTTACACATCGAGAGTAAACATGGACCAATGCTCTGTTAACATAAAGCTTTGTTAACGGTGTTGCAGAGATGGATAAAATGAGGGTAATAGAATTACTGAAATACTTACCCTTCCTGGAGAAAACGCACTACAGGTTTTCTTTCAGGTTTGATACGAGTCTGAAGGGCAAGTCATTTGGTCATCAGAATTCACAATGGCTGATCCCCTTCCTCAGTAAAGATCATGTACCTAGGTGCCTAGACCTTCACTATGTTACCAGTGGTATAAAAAAGGAAGTAGCATTTTCTCAGGCAAGGTAAGAATTCATGTTACTCTCTGTTTATACAGTAAGACTGTGAACATCATCTAGTGGTAACATTAGAGTATGTTTTTTTTTTTCAATTAGAAAACTTTATTAAACAACTTAATTAGTCATGAAACTTGCACAGATAAGTAAATAGCTGCATTTCCTCCCACGTTTTGGCCTGTATATGACTCATGAGTCAGGAATTGTACACCTCTAGCTTGAACATTCAGGCCTCTTAAAGTATATGTAAAAGTTAAACTTTTTTTGGTAGTGGATACAGTAAGAAATATTTCACCACCAACTCCTATCACTTTTTTTTTGTCCCCCTGGGGAAACTTCTCTTTGCCTCACGTTGTGGGGACAAAAAAGGAACTCCCACCAGGACATATATCTCCATTAGAGTGCCTCTCATCCTGTGTTGAGGTGACAGCTGTAAAATGTTGGATTTCCCATCACTTTCTGTCCCTGTGACAGTGGTCACCAAGACAAAAAAAGAAGAAAGTGTAAAACTCCCCAGAAAAAACACAAGCAACAATAAAACCACACAGAAGTCTGAACAGCTTCTAACTCTATCCTAACCTAAAAAAAAGTTTTGGCTTTAGTGAAACTATAACTTTGTGTTGGTTATGGTCAGCTTTATATTGGGGAATCCTGGGAATATTTGCTCCTAGCATTTTAAAGTTGTTTTAAAAAAAACATATTTGCTTAGTGCTGAAATAGACTTGAAAACAAATACTTTTAGATCATTAGATTCCTTGGTTCCTTGACATATTTCCTCAGGCATTTTAAAAGTCTAGGCTGCTATCCAGTACTAAACAACGTTATATTCTTGTTTCCTAAGCATTATCAAGAAGAAAAAAACATGCAACATTTTACTAAGCTTTGAGGTTGTGCCCTATGGGAACCAGCCAAAAGACAAAAGAACCATTGTGGGGCTAAAGTGCTGGCAGGATATTTTATAACACATACACATCTCCTGAGATTGTTAATCAAGTCCTTTTTATTACATGCGTGAAATAAATCATCAGAATAGGCTTTTTCCTAAATAAACCAATTTAACTAAACGTTGAACTATTTGGCTGTGTTTTATGAGCTTATAGATACAACTATGTAACTTGGGCATGTATAATTTGCCTCAGTACATTTCAGATTTACTATTGGAAGAAAGCACTTTGTTTTTCAGCCACATGATTTAATATGCTATAGCTACTTTAAGGGACATTGCTTTACTAAAAGAGTCCATAGACATTAGTGTTGAATCAGTTTTTATTAGCATTTTAAACAGGTTTCATAACATTCAGTATTGAAACTCAAGAAGGGTATAAAAATTACAAACTAGACATCAGGCGACATGAGTATGTGAATTGAACATTGGCGGTCTGGCATGGACATTCAAGGGTCAGTGTTAAAAGAGTCCATAGACATTAGAACTGAAATACAATCTGGCTTCTTGTGGAAATACATAGTTACACATCCCCAGGTCAGCACCGCTGAGAAAATAGCTATTAGCCAGTTTTGGTCAATTACTTTATATTCTAACATTTCAATAAAGAGACAAGAGTGACATCATGGCTTTTGCCATGATGTCACAACAGTAGTGGAACAGTAGTGGAAGATTCATAGTTGTCTTAGATATGAAAGATTATATCTGTGTTATCCAATGGAGTCTGATGTCTCCATAAAGAGGACCTGTTTGCCCTCTATGTGATAGCAATAAAGTTAAGTGTAAAAAAAAAACAACTGAAAACATTTAAGTCACATATAATAATTTTTTTTTTAAATCATGTTTTTGTTCAAAAAGGGCTTAACATGTTTGGTATCTATTTACCTGACATGACCCCATCTATATTTTTTTAACAAAAAATTGGGCATTATGTTCTGTTTCTGTGCACTAAAATGTATTTTAGTGTATTGTATCCTGAAAATATTGGTTTGATACTTTTTTGTGCAATTATCGTGCAACATAAAAATGCAACTTGCATTTGTTTTTATTCTACAGGGCTTCTTCTTTCAGAAAATATATAACTGTTTGGGGGTTTTAAGCTTTTTTCTAGCCAAAAATTCACATTGTATTATGTGTGTGGAAAAAATATGAAATTGCTCCAGATTGCAAGTGGTTAAAATAAAGGGTCACTTGTGGTCCTAGGTCACCAGAGAGATGAGATAGGAGCCATTTTAGAATATAGTGTGTTCTAATAGTACTTTAGAGAATTATCATTAGCATAGGATGGTGTCCTCAGAAGTGATTTTGATCTTCTTTTATTATAGGCTTTAATGGAGACTGTAACCTCATTGGGACCATCAATTCTCAAGCTGTAAGTTGTGTTTACATTTCCTGATATTGTACCAGTCAGTGTCAATGTAGGCTCAGAGATCTTCTTGACTTCTAGCATTGTATGCGATCATTGGACCATTTCTTTCCGCCTAGAGTTCTTAATAATTGTGTAATAGCTGGCATGTATAGTTTATAAAGTGGAAGACATTTAAGGAACACCTTTTGCTAGGAACAAATATCTAATATACAGTATTATTTCCTATCATGCTCATGCCATGGTAGCTATTAATTTAATCATAAATACTGTCAGCTTTTACTTTTGAATTGAGTTCCCTTTTCAACATTTTTTTAAATGGCTTAAGTATGAGAAGGACTGGAGAAATTTAGAAAATTATCTATAAGTAGAATCAGTAAAATCAGCCCTGGCACTTACAACACAGAGGAGAGTAAACAACTTAGAATGTAGTTAAGCAGATATTCGATAGCACTGAGTTATAGTAAAATCATTAAAGTGCATGCATATCTAACTTTTTTTGTTTAGAGTAGGAAAGGATTATAAACTTGTTATATGCTATTGCTGTCTGTCTTCCTGCTAGGTGGATTCACCCTCTCTATTTGTCCTGGTGACCATTGTCACCAAGGCAAATAGTGATTGGAAATCCAAACTTTTACAGTTGTCACTAAGACATGAGGAGAGGGAAAATTGGAGACACTTGGTCGTGTGACAACTATCTAAAAGGGGAATTCTGCTTACTTTGTAGAGATTTCCTCTCACTTCCCGTTGTGTCTCTGGGAAAGGATGTTAAGGTAACTCTCCCCAATGGGATGCAGACAGCAAAAAATAACCCGTCTACCCTATCCAAAATGACCCCCCAAATTCTATACATATTACATACACATTTGTTTGTAGAGGTATAAATAGTTTTGAAGAATGGGTTTAAATTTATTTATCTTACTTACTTATTTCTCTGCTTTTCACAGGGACACTGCCAGTGCCTGCCCAGAGTTGAGGGTATAACCTGTGATCGTTGCAAGCCACTATATTGGAATTTAGATAAAGAAAATTCACAAGGCTGCATTGGTAAGCTTCTTGTATACCTTTAAAAAGTAGGGCTAAGGTGAGAGATTAATCACACATTGGTGTAAAGCTGAACTCCAGCTTTAAAAATGTATATGTGCTTAGATTGCACCAGCTTTAGCACTGTTAAAACACAGCAGGTGACTTGCTCAGCACAGCAGCCATTCAGAGGAATAGTATTTTACTCAATGAATACTAAGCCTTCACTGATTAGACAAGAGCCAATTAGGTCATGGCATATTACACGATTTCTGTGGCCCTGCCAGGGATCATTTCTATATGCTTACATTGTCCCAAGCTGGACAAGTGTAAGTATATACACATTTTTCAAGCTGGAGTTCAGCTTTAAGTAATTCAACTTTGCTATGTCCAAAGTTTAGTACCGTGAATGGTAACAAAAATTCACTACAGTTTGGGCCCATTCATTCTTGTATGCGGTATGGTGTGCGAGTTGGGCTGTCTTTCACAATGACTGGCACTAAATGCTTTGCATAAAGATTGTGCAATAACATGTGTATTAGCATTTGTAGTGCGCTGCACTGTAAAAAAAAAATGCTCTTGTGAGTTATTCTATACATTGAGATACATAGGCAGCCCATTCATAATGAATGGTTTTCCTTAACACAGTGGACGTTAACTCATGGCGTAACATGCATTAATGCACCGCAACTGGATGCAAGTGTAGATGAAGCCTCAGTGTTGCTGCTTTAGTAAAAAAGGAGATTATCTAAGTTAAGCAGTCCTCAGGGACTCCGGCCACCCGGAAAGGAATAAATCTACATCAGCCCCTGTAGCCAATATCACGAATGCTGGAGTGCCAGACCAGTGCTACTAACAGGATATCATTTTATGATACCATGAGCACCTTTTTTCAGAATGTAAATCTACTGTGATGCAAATTTTGAATAGCCAAAAGTTGTAGAAACAATTAAGTGGATAGGGATAATGAGAATGAGAGATCTGTGGAAATCACATACGTTTTAGTTTTATATATTATTTACTTTTTACAGGTATTTATATAGCGGCAACAATTTACACAGCACTTTACATACTTCCAGATTCACACCAGTCCCTGCCCTCAAGGTGCTTACAGTCTAAGGTCCCTCTTGCACACGCATACAGGGCCAATTTAGAGAGGAGCCAATTAACCTTTCACCGTGACTTTGAAGTGTGGTAGGAAAGCAGAGTACCCATAGGAAATCCACGCAAACACAGGAAGAACAAGAAAACTCCATGCAGATACTCTAGTGTCCTGATTAGGATTCAGACTGAGGATCCTCTGGTTTTAAGATGTCAGTTTAGGTTCAGAACCAAAACAAGCTGCAATGTATCAGCTGTTTCTGAAATAGGTGCTACCGTAATAGTAGCTCTGATGCACAGATCAGGACGTTGGCTGTCAGCAGGTCCTGGCAGCTACATGCCCTGGCAAAAAAGGGGAGAAAAAAAGGACTTTGGGCTACCCACTATACCACTGTGCTGCTCTAGCACATCTGACATAACATATCAGCTCTGATACAAATAACACCAAACCTAACCTAACCTTTGTTTTCAGATTGCTCCTGTGATGTAGATGGAACAATAAGTGGAATAGGTGAATGCCACCAGGTAATAAATGCAAATATATGTATTTCCATAAGCATTTTATATTAAAACTGTGCTAATACAATATATTCTACTAATACAATGGCATTAATAGTCAGGGTATTTTTTTAGACAAGGAGTCATTATGCATTACTATGTAATACTATTATTACAAATCTATAAGATATGTTGCGGGGGGCTTGCATTTAATCAAAATTTAGCTGGTGATCCTGCCAGTGGTTGACTTCCTGCCATATGGTTACCACACAGCCTCACGGTGTCTCAGAAACAGTATTGTCACCCTATTGACCCTGGCAAGAATTACAAGCAGATGTGATGGCACACGGCACTCCAGCTTGTTTGGACTGAGCCCACTCAGACCAGCCACTTGCGGCAAGTAAAGTGTGGCTGAAAGACCTTCCCCATACCAAGTGATAGTGGCTTTGGGAATTAGAAGCAGTGGCAGCATCACAGAAAGGACATGGCGCACACACAATCCCTGGTAGTTGGATGAGAAAGCTGCTGAAATGTGCACAGTCCATGCAAAAGTTTGTCAAAAACAGGTAAACATCGCATGAAAAAAAATATGGCGAAGCTGAATATATTAAAGGGTCTTACTAAAACAAGTAGTGCTTGTTGAGGATTTAGTTCTGCTTTACAATAAACCACTTTTATTAAGCAGGAATGAAGTCTTCTGAAAACTGTGTGTGCTGCATATGTGTCTACAACCAGAATCCTGCTCCAAAATAAACTATATTAGCTCCCAAACTTACTTAAATTGAATATTTGGAGAATTCCCAAGGAAACGTGATAATGTCAATGACAAACTTTGGAGAAATTACGTCACGGATCAACCTACTGATATTAGACCAAAAACTAGACTTCTGAGCACTTTACCCAAAGACCTGACTGTACTTATAGAGAATCATACATTCTCTCTAAAGTTTTTCATACTATACACTGGGTGGTATTTGTGGAATCTAGGTGAGATATATGTAAGCCTTTACAAAAATGAGAAATGATTTTATATTAGGGAAAAGTTAGTAGAATTAACATATTTTAAGTTTGTAGTCTTGTGACCACATACATCTGGATTAATTTGGACAGCACTGTAAACCTGGCTTAAAGGGGCAAATCATTAAAATCCATAACTGATCTTTTGGTTTAAAGTGTATGCAAACCCTAACAATGACCATTGCTTTTTTTTTGTTTGTTATCTTTTTTTAAATGTGCAGAAAAATCCTTGTTGATCATGCCAGGAATCTTGTAGGCTGATAACATCCCTCCTATGTTATGGAGAAGGGGAGGGGGTGTTCTGTAGTTACTAGGGTGACAACTCTATTTCTCTGTAGATATAGTACAGTGAGTAAGTGTGGTCACCTAAGAGCAGGAAGTTTGTCACTGCCGGGATCCCCAGGTGAAAATACAAGGGAAAAAAGCATGAAAAAAGAAAACTAATGCAGCCACCACATTTAAGGACTAACAAGCTGCAATATATTACATATTTGCTTTTGAAATTAGATATGCTTTAATTTTACATCATGTCAAAACTGTCATTATATTATGAAGTAAGCCAGAATTATGTTTATATTTAATATTCTTCTACCCAGACTGATGGTGACTGCCATTGTAAGCCATACACTTGTAGCACATCCTGTGGAACATGTCAAGATGGCTATTATTTCCTAGAAAGCAGGAATTATTTTGGATGCAAAGGTAAAAAAATTTGGAGTATACTTTTCCTAAATATGCTTTGTAGTGGAAATACATATCTACTGACTTCAGCACAGAATAATTATGTACTATAGTATTGCTATACTATAATACCGTATATTACCAATACATGTCAGATGTGGATTTTGTTTGCTTTGATATAATTTGCATCTTGTTACTTTAATAGGCTGTCAGTGTGATGTGGGAGGAGCTGTCAGTCATCTGTGTGATGAATCTTCAGGAAAATGCTCTTGCAGAAAAAACATTAACGGCAACAACTGTAAAATGTAGGTTAATATTATAATATAAAGTGTAGCTTTTGTTAAGTTAGTGTACAGTTTTTCTGCCTAAAACTGAGATCTGATTTTGTGGTAATTAAATTTTTCATGGTAAAGCGCCACTAAATGGTTTTCTGTTGGATACAGATAAACTAATATACGTTCTTGTTTCCATTTCACTGATTGTTGTTTTAAAGCTCAATTGTGTATGCTTCTGATTCCACCCTCTCACAGCTTCTTTATATACATTTTTTTGATTTACCAATAAACATCTAATACATAGCAATGGATTCCCAGAGATCTATGGGTTAGCTTATGAGATAACATAACAGCAGTTGTTTCCTTTCCAGTTGGAATTGGAACTTTAGGCAGATTGTCTGTAATAAGTGATAAGTCACTTCTCTGGTGACTCAGTTGGTTCATCTTAATCCATTATAAACATACTTTTTACAACCAAATAGCAGAAACTGCAAAACATGTGATTAGGAGCCTAGAGCTCCATCTAGTGGCTAGATGAAAGACTACATAAATTACCATTCATATTGAATATTTCACAGCTACTTGACTAGAAAAAAATAAAAATATTTTTAAATGTTCTAAAACCACTGTACATTTTGTTTATAGAAATAATTTTAAATGCAACGCCAAAGGTCTAAAATACTTCTAATCTCTTAGTGAATGAGTATCTTACCTCCCTATTTTTGAAGAATCCAGGATTGGCAGCAGTTGTACAAATCATAAGGGTCTATTCACAAAGTTACCGAAGGATCTAGCCGTAGCTTCGGCTGATCCTTCGGGTAGCTTCGGCCCCAGGACCCCTTCGGTTCAGGGCTGCTGTATGGGCTATTCACTATAGCCCGTACAGCCCCCGAAGTTGGCCGAGGGGCTCAGTCGAGCCAAAGGCATATGCTTCGGCTCGACTGAGCCCAGGGGAAATTCGAAGCCGGGCGAACGGCTGGCTCCGGCCACTTGCAGAGAGATCAGCGTCCCTGGTTACCAGGTAAACAGGGATGCCGTTCTATCATTACACTGAGAACCCGTCGGAGCCGCTGTAAAATCACAGCAGCTCTGCCGGGTTCTGTGTGTAATGACAGAAGGCGTCCCTGGTTACCTGGTAACCAGGGACGCCTTCTGTCATTACACTGCGGCTCCTTAGTACACTGAGAACCCGGCGGAGCTGCTGTAACAGCTGGTCCCGGCCAATAGAAAACAATTGGGCGGAGCTAGCTGTCAATGCTAGCTCCGCACAATCGTTTTCTACTTTTTGTTCTACTTTTTTAACTGTTTTTTTATTCTGCGTGGTACCACAGAGGTTATTCACTCACTGCTGTTCGGCATCTATGATAATAGGCCGAACAGCAGCGAGTAGCCTGCCGGAGGTTTGGCTCAACCGATCCAGATGCTGGATCGGCTGTGTCGATCTACTTCTGCACTTCGGGTCGGCCGAACATGCTGAGCATGTTTGGCCGACCCAAAGCCACCCGATGTACGGCTGATTTCAGCCGATATACGGCTGAAATCAGCCGTACAAGCCTGAAGTGAATAGCCGAACAGTGTTCGGCTCACTTCACTTCAGGTCGGTTGTTCACTCGGCTGCCTACGGCAGCTTTGTGAATAAACCCCATAATGTTTCACATTTTTTGGCATATACATTTTCTGGCATAATAATGTGCTTTGGATATATCAAAGTGGACCTGCTTGTTATAGGATTGTACAAAGCCCAATTGTAACTTAAAAGTAGTGGTGTCTCTAGATTTTATATTAGATCATATTTTTAATTTCTAGGTTTTATATTAGAATTTATTGGCATGTGAATATCTCTTGCAATGGATACAAACATAAAAGTAACTTTTGAATATTTTTTTACAGACCAAAGCAAAGCTTCTACTTCCCTGACCTTTATCAAATGAAATACGAAATAGAGGATGGCACAAGTTCTGATGGAAGGGCCATACGTTTTGGATACAACGCAGAGGAGTTTCCTGGGTTTAGTTGGCGGGGATATGTTCAAATGTCATCCATTCAAGTACGACATTTATCCTAAAACAGGAATTAAGAAAGATAGCATGCACCTTAAAACCCAACTCCAAAATTGTTATTGGAAGGCAAATGCTGACCTGTACATTGTTGTTTTACCTATTCTGTTCACTTCTCAAGTAGAACCGTTTATAGCCTCTCCAAGTCTTTGTGTTGTCAGCTTAATGTTTATTGTGAATTGAGATCTACATATTGACCAGCTCATTTATGTATTTGTTTAAATCTTTAAATGTGTTTTATTTTGAATACATTTAACTTTTTTCTTCTAGGAAATAGCATAATTCTTAGAATCCTTCTTGATATAAAGTCCTTGTAATTCATTGCACAGCAGCAAAGGGATTGGGAGGGCTAGTACTCAGGCTGTATTGTTTTTCAGAGTACTGTCAGCTTTATAAACTAGAACAACCAACAATCCTTAATTAGGAGTGGGGGGCATTCGATATCTGTTTTACATCCTGTATGAAATGATTTTTTAACATCTTTAAACCATTTCACACCTTTAACTATGTAGCACAAACAATTAACATCACATGTTTCAGACTTCATGGCACTATTCAGACTGAATTATTATGTTAAAGGATAAGTCCACTTTCCAAGGGAAATTTGGAAATGTCCTCCTCCAATCTGGCCCTCTCTCTCCCCCCGTTTGCAATACTTACCTATTGGTGAATGCTCCTTCCCCTCCACCGGTGCTGGTGTACTCTCCGTGCTCTGTACACAGCAGCAGCACAGCCCTGCACTCTGTATTTTGAATTTTGCTTGCTAATGGTGGGTACCTGACTGTGGTGACCAATGAGAAACACTTCTTGCTAATTTGCATTTTTTAAATGTGCCATTTGTGAGCAAAATTCAAAATACAGAGTGCAGGGCTGCACAGCTGAGTATGGAGTATGTACAGTATAGTGCATCGGTGGAGGAGAAGGAGAGCTCGCCAAAAGGGAGGTATAGCTGGTGGGGGCAGATTGAAGGGGGTAATTCCATTTTCCTTAGTTCACCTGGCAAAGTAGAATTACCTTTTAATTAGAACTTGGTGTCATATTCTTGGACAATCAGTACCTACCTTGACGCATTTTATGACACCGCAATGATTGGATTAAGGTGAGTTGCTCATTAGTATGACAAAGTAATTAGGAGAAGTAGCGAAATGTTATCTAACAATTCCATTTGAATGTGACTATACCAAACATAACTATTTAACTCTTTTATAATGCGTCTATGCTACTCCATACCAAACATCCTGTTGTCTGAATTGCAGATAAAATATGCTTATTTACTAAGTGGAAACCATCTGTTAATAGAACTTAATGTAGATCCTCCTACTTCTCAGATAAGTCATTAGTCTTTAAACAAACATGTGGGTGGCCTGTTAATTAACATACTCTTCCTTTGCAAGCTGCAAGAGCAGCTTAGGAAGAAATTCCTTCTCAAGAACAGTACATACATGTATATTTGGCACACTTATAGGCTATATCAACTCCTATGTGTGGTGCCAACTTCAGTATTATAAAGATTAGGAGATATTCATATCCATGTCTTGTTTTGCTTTGTCTCTGCAGCCAGACCTGGCTATACTTGTCTACAGCCTGCATTCCCTTCTTTCATCTCCCATCTATGCTCAGCTCCCTTTCCTACATCTCTGCAAAATAAATAACTCAATTGGTAAAGAGTTTCTTCATACCTGAGGCGTTATTTGTAAGTGTCTTTTCTTTACAACTATCTTTATATCTTTGCTGTCCGTCGTACTTAGGGTTAGGAGATCAACCAATTTCCATAAACAAATAGAATTATGAAAAGATTCTGTATATAGTAAAGAGAAAACTCTAACTGTACAGCTAGTTCTTAGAGGTAAGCACAGGTCTCATTAGAAACCTTCAGCAATACAAATTGCATAGTGAATGTACATACTGTGACCTGATTGTAGAAGTATGCATACATAATTTTCTATCTTTTTCACAGAATGAAGTTAGGATCCCAGTTAGTGTGGGTAAATCAAATCTCAACCTATTTCGTATTATCCTGAGATACATTAATCCTGAAGTGAATCCTATAACTGGGCACATCACTGCATTCAGATCTCGGCTGAGCAAAGGTAAGTGTAGCATGCATTCAGCTTAACATCCTGTAAACGACAAGGAAAATAGGAGTCATTTAAAGTTGAACTCCAGGCGCCCAGCTAAATACAAAGATTAAATACATAGGTAGCTGTCTTACTTGCCAAAGTATTTGTATCTCTGTCTATTCAGTTCTGAAATTTACACAGCTCTGCTACATAGCACTGCCCTGTCAGGCAGGGAAGGAGAACTAGTTTTCCGCTGCTGCAGATCAGTAAAATTTTCAGTTCTCCTTCCCACTCCTACCATGTAAGTGTATAGTGAAATGAGTAGCAGCAAATGGATTAGCTCACGTCACTTTGATCAGTCCTCCTGGAACTTCAACACAACTAATTGGCTCCTTGTGCTGCTTCTCCCTTCCCTGGTCTGGGCTGCTGTACCGGACCTGCAAGGGGCTGATACCAAGTCAAATTCAAATACTTATGCTGCATGCATTTAAAAAATGCATTTAATGATGTATTATTAAATACAGAGCTGCTTTAATCTGCGTTGCTTATATTTGTCTGAAGTCCAGCTTTAAGGTGACCATTATGTGATAATGTGATCATGTTAGATACATAAGTTAATTTCAAACCTGCTGTGACAACCTACTGCCAATCCACAAGCTTGTACAGTAGTCCTAAGGGATCTATTTTAAAGGCCCCCTTGCCCTGCCAATATCTGTGAGCATTTGTTTTGAGTGAATATTGCCAAAAATTATTTTTTTTCCAGTTCGATTGTAATATCATGTGATATTACTTAATTCCTATGCTCCTCAGCTCTGTCTAGTGGCCGAAATATAGTGTTATACCTCAATACATACAACCGGGGGAAAAAAATAGATTAAGAACATTATTCACAGAGCAAAGGACTTGTTTATAAATGGACCCCCAAGTAATCTGGGCTGATTCCTTTATGGTCTAATTGCTCTTTTCTTCTCATTTAAATCCATGGAGAAGATGGACATACTTTTAAACTACACCATGTTTTGATTTGGGGCAAAACACATCACATACAGTTTATTTCAATCTGTTTGTGCATCTTTATTAACCACATTACTGCATACTTCTACAGAAGCCGTACATGTAAACATAATCCCAAAACCCGAAACAATGCTTTCTAAAAAGTTTCATTTTCTAGTACATAGCAGAAAATATATAGATACATAGCAAAGTATATACATAAAATAAGAGCATATGATATATAGTGATATATTCTACTGTTTTCAATTCTGTTTTTCTTCTCATTCTGCACTGATTTGGGATAAAGCATTCAAATATTTCTGATCTATAGGATCGTTAGACGTCAAAGATATCGTGTTCCATCCAAGTAGAGAGCCAGCATTTCTTACCGTGCCAGGAAAAAGCTTTGCTGAGCCATTCTCTTTGGCGCCTGGAAACTGGGTCATTAAAATTGTGGTGGAAGGAGTGCTCTTGGTAAGTTCATCGTAGTCCAGTCACACACATTCAGACATTAGGGAACTTTATGTAGAAAGGTTTATATCATAGTACACAAGCCATGGGGAAGACAGCTTGGGATCTGTGCAACAATTAATTACACTTAAAGATTTCTCAGAGATTCTGAACTTTGAAAAAAGTTACTCCCAAAAAATAACCATTACTCCAAAAAAATCAATCAAAATAATATATATATATATACACTGAGTGGCCAGATTATTATGACCACCCCATCAGTACTTCGTTGGGAATATTGTAGCACACAGGTATACATCTTTTCTCCATGGATCCTCTTCGCTCTGACATGTTTTGCCCAATAATGGGCTTAATCATTGAGATCTATGGGTGAAACATGTCAGACGTTGTTGTTTGAGTAATTGCCGATGTTGGACCAAGACGGGCTCGGTCAGTGTGCACCTCCCATTCTCTCTGGTGTTGCTCTGAAGGAGCAGTGATATTGGACTATGGAAATTAACTCCATTACATTACATCAGTTCCAGAAAGTCTTATTACATGCTCAAGGCTTTTTGTAAATGTATAGTCACACAACAGTCCAACATTACTAATGAACACCATGGAGAAAAATAGATTCACCTTTCTTAATTTAACTTTAAGGCCAGCCATACACACTGAGAGAAAATCAATAGATTCCTCCGTTCATGCTAAAGCTGCAGCACCCAGTGCCTCTGTACCCAAACAATGACTGCATCTGATAGGCTACAGTAAGTGTTTGGCTCATCATTTTTTAAGCTAGTTTAAATGCTGATGAAATCACTTACAATAGATGCTGCTTCTTGAAGTTTAAAAGTTTTAGTTTTATGCAGAATCAGCTGGTCCCAAGCACTGGCCCTGATATCCAATTTTGTTCTGCTTTTTTCCATTGGTAATGTGATCTAAGTTCTGTGAAACAATGGAAAAAGCTCTTATGAAATATACTTTGCTACGAAAAATTCAATCTCTCATAGCCTGTTAGTATAAAACACGGGCAGTTACCTGTCAGATGGTCTCTTGGAATTACACTGGTCGGCATTGTGCATTTTAATCAGCCAGGAATGTTTGGACTGCAGAGGAGATTTCTTTCTCTTTCTTCAGTACTGCGTAAGAAATATCTACTCTCTGAACTATTTGTGACTGGTGGTGAATCATTCAGTTAATGGCTCTTAATTGATTTTTAATTACACTCAACTCGGATACCTGTATCTAAGGTGCCAAAGTTTTACCTCTCTTAGCACCGCATTACATTTTTATTCATGCAGCGTGAGAATAAAAGTGAATAACATTCAGGACTCCTTCAGAAAATGTGGTTAATCATGTGAACCACCCATCTGTAGAGCTGAGGTGTTCGGTGTTTAATTTTGCAGTACAGCTTTATTGAAGGAACAGTTACTGAATGAAGAAGATGTGCCTTGATGTGGGGAGAGTCTTGCAAATGTTTTCTCATGTATAGATTAATGTCATTGACCTTGCCCATGGCTTAGTGGCTGAGATGTTCCCTCACTACCCCCACTGAGGTGCAGTTAAAAGTAGCTATAATGGCTTTTGGCCAGCATTATTTTAGATGTTTACTGCATATGCTTTTAAAATTATGTTTTGTATCTAAAGCCATTTTTTTTCTGTTTTAAGTACAGTTGGGTTAGCCACCATTTCTTAACTCCAAAGTGGGGGTAATGCCACTCCTAAGTTGGCCATACACTGTTGGAATTTTGGCTGATTCACAGGAATCCACAGAAATTCTAACTGTGGGTGGTCCTGCTAGCACCTCCCAGCTCAACAAACTTCGACTGAAAAATGAAAAGAGGCGGGTGGAAAATTGTCAGGCCAGCATCCAATTAGATAGCCATAATTGCCAGATGTCTGAATGCATGGGAGGTTCCTCCATTCAAACTGTTTAGCAGGCAGAATGAGAAAAAAACATTATGTATTGCCAGGTTTACATGGTGTCCCCGGAATATATGTCCACATAGATGTCCCCATTGGAAGATTTCCCCTCTGTTCCTGTTCTGCTGACAGCTCTGTTCCTGTTCTGCTGACAGCTTTTTTTCCTCACTTTCAGTCTTGGTGGCAATATTCTTCAGTACAAATAGAGAGGTGAAACTCTCCACAGACAACGATGAAGCTTAAAAGGGGTTGTAAACGCCCCCTGCTCTTTTCAAAATTAAAAAAAAATGTTACTTTAAAATTTTACATTTTTGGACAAATATTATTTTCATATTATGATCACAATCACTATACGTACATACTGTAAAGCTTTGGGACAGTGTTTATTGTTAAAGGTGAACAAAACTTTTTTTTTTTATTATGGATATAGTAGGCATGGGTTATAGTCCTTGACAGTTTTTTTGCCAACTGTGGCCCTTGAGGAGTTTTCACTTCCAGTCGCATAGCCATAACAGGAAGTGAGAGCAAATCCCTCCAAAGTGAGAGAAATCCCTGGTTGCCACCAGGGTAATCAGAGCTGCAGAACTGGTGTCCACATTGGAAGATTTCTCCTCAATTCCTGTTCTGGTGGCAACTCAAAATGTGTGATTTTCTTTTACTTTCAGACTCGGTGATAACCAGGACTATATAGAAAGGTTTAATCTCCCCAATAGAAAGTCAGACAGCAATAAAAACATGAGAGGTCTTCTTATCCCTCTCCACTCCATACAAAACAAACAAAATGTTTTAAATATATTACCACAGGTCCCCTTAAGGGAGATCCCACCATGATACAAATGATGCAACTATAAATCTATATAGTAAAATACATACAATTTATTAAACATGAATATGACAAAACACATTTAAAACAGCATATGAATTATTTCTTACACTCGGCTATCCATATAACAAGATGAATCTAATAAATAAATATTGTATGTGGACATCAGAGTCCGCTATAAATCAAGCTATAAATTATAGCGGACTCTGGTGTCTTTGAGGTCCACATACAATATTTATTTATTAGATTCATCTCGATATATGGATAGCCGAGTGTAAGAAATAATTCATATGCTGTTTTAAATACTCAACCAGTGTATGTATTCTCTCGTATTAGGATTACCTTGTGCTGCTGCCAAGTGATTTCTATGAAGCATCCATTTTACAGCTAAGAGTTACTGAGCCATGCAGTAATACTGGACTTGTTGGTGAAAAGTGAGTATAGCTCTGTGAACCAGTATCTAGATTAATTCTTAGAATTTTCATATTTTTCTACTGGCCATGGTCAGTTGTGTCTTTGCAGTGACCTGTAATAAAATGCATCACTTATTTTCATTGGTGAATGGCTTTAGGCCAGAAAATGTGACAGACTGTAAAGTGTATCTGTATCTTATCATAGAGGGGTCAGGTATGTACTGCAGAGAGGACTGATGGAGAATGATGGTCCAGTTTTACATCTTAGAGTTGATGTGGAATCTTGTCATGAAATCTCCCTCACAGTGTCCTCCTTGGTAGGTCACTGGTTGAGTCCAGATATCCCTTGACCTTTATCGCCTAGGTCAGTGGTTCTCAACCTGTGGGTCGGGACCCCCTCGGGGGTCGAATGACGATTTGCCAGGGGTCGCCAAGTGGCTCTCGGCCGCCGGGAGAGAAACACTTTCTCCCGGAAAGGTCGGGACCTTTCTCTGCTCTATTTTTGTTTTTTGTTTTTTTAAATCGGGGGCCGCCGTAAGTCAGAAAAAAAAAACCCCACCATAGGAATGCATAGCTAGATTCCTATAGGCTATTTCACTTTGCAAAAGCCAATAGCAAACTAGTTATTGCACCCGCCCTCTGATGCTGCCAATCAGCAGAGGGGGACCTGAAGTTCTCCATCAAGTCCCCTTCTAGTGATTGACAGCAGCAGAGGGCGGGATGCAATATGTATGTATTCAAGCAAAAAAATATGTAAAACACACCTCTAGCTATGCATTCAATTTTCCCTGTCCACAGCCAAGTACCTGTGATTGGCACTGCGCGCTGTCAGCTTCCTGGCGGGCTCGGCACGTGGAGCTGCGAACACGCCCGAGCCCATCCCTATCAGTGACAGTACTGCGGAGTATGTACCTCACACGTTATATAGCAACACACTTTAAATCCAATTCTTCTAGTTCCAGCTGCAGAGCCCGGTCCTGTCTTTGCATATAGCAGTGGTTCTCAACCTGTGGGTCGCTGTGCAAGGTGAGAGTCCTCCTCAGCTCTCTCCTAGCGCAGCAGTGTCAGTTCTCCCGTCACGCCTCCAGATGACGCTGCAGCAGCCACGTCATCCCAAAATTTTACCTTTGGGGGTCACCACAACTTGGCAAATGTTACCAAGGGGTCCCGGCCCTAGAAAGGTTGAGAACCACTGGCCTAGGGTCCCTCCCCCACACACTTTCACTTCTGGGATGTCAAATATATGTGTAAATCTATGTGTTACCTAATACGACCGAGGGCTCCGGAATGGTGGGAACGCCCAACATATATACATCAGAAAAGATATACTTAACTAATCCATCTTTTATATGGGCATAAAATCACAATATCACATTTGCAAGCAAAACCAGTCCTCTTAAAATGAAAATAGTTTATCATCTCAATGGAATATAGCTGTTTACAGATTTTATATGTCTTTTTTTTTTGTATGGAAACTGTAAAAGTACAGTTACAATACAATATGACAACTTATCGGTCCTTTGACTGGTGGCGACATTACTTTTTTCTTTCTAGGCCTTTGTTTCCTTTATTTTCACCCGGTGATTCTGCCAATAAACTTTCTGTACTGGGGTGACACCGATCAGATATTGCACACTATTTATGTAGGAGTAATGTTGCCAACCTAGGACACAACTACAGCATACATCTCCGTCTCATTTTCTCCATAACAAAGATGAGAGGTGCTCTGTAGTCCTTGGAAATAACTCAGAACAATGTAACTGAAAATAATACAGCAGATACAGAAACACAGGAATCAGTAGTTATCACCTGACAAGATTATTAGTGACATCCACAGGTATAGTTTGGTACCCTGCAAACAGATATAACAAAATCCTTTTAATGGTATATTAAATAGATTAAAAGGGACCAAATTATAGAAGTTCATTGCTAGGTTTTACATACCCTTTAAATTAATAACATTTCATTTATATATGATTATAATTTCATTTTATATATGATTACAATTTTGTAATGCTATTCTAAACCTTTTCTTGTGTTTGTAAGCTGTCTTGTGTATCATCATTTGCCAATGGAGAGGTTTAAGTGTGTTCGTGGCCCTGACATAGAATACTTCAAACAAGATGGAGTAAACCGGCCAATAATTGTTCGGCAACCAAGCAACAGTCCACCAGTCGCGTATATTTCTGGAGGACAGGTAGGAAGACCTCTTTGTGAATACGATTCTATTTCTCACTTAAAGGAACATTGTCAGTTAGAAAAGATTACTTAGACATGATTATTGATGCTTCTGCACAGACAACCAGGATGCTCTCTTTGCAAGGGAATTTCTCCCTTAGTGAATACCAACTTCTACCATGCAATCATGTGCAAGAAAAAATGCTGTTTTTTTTAATTTTCCTTGCATGTGATTTGCTATTCTTTGCAAAGTGAATTTTTACCACATTCACCCAGCTAAGAGAAACATCCCCTGCAAGGTGACCAGCCTATTTGCCTTTACTAATTCAACCCCAGTGTGTTATTTGGTTAAAGTTACAATATTATATACTGCATTGACACTTTTAACAATTGTTTTCAGGCACAGAGTAGTGCTGAACTCTTGACTTTATGAAGCTGTATGCTATAAAGTCAAATACCCAAATCGGAGTCAAGCTTTGGGTCCATATAGAGCAGAAAAAAATGGATTTCCCACTTACATCTTACCTCTTTACTTCAACATCCGCTTACTGGTCCTACCATTCTAGCGGTTCGCAAATATTGCGCAAAGTGTGGTCTATCCTATTTCCCCTCCCCCATGACTCCTATCATGGGTCCCCCAGAATTCGTCTCTGGATTCACTGACAAGGTCTTTCGCAATTGGAGGGCGAACACACTAGATGTTGCCTATCAGTTTCTTCATTAAGGGTGTTGGAAAGACGTCTCTGCACTCACAGAAGAATTCCAGGTTCCTAGTCTTGACCCCTGGCAATCTCTACAAATTCTCATACTTTTTAAAACCCCTATCTCATGCTGATCTGTTCCATAGACCACGTACTTCGTTCAAGGAGTTGTGTGGGGGTGGGGGCATGGTCTGTGGGACGCTCTTATTGGTCTATAAATTGCTATTGAATACTTTATCTGTTTCAGACTTACCCTTCCTTGGTAAAGGGGAGAGAATTCTCCAAACCACGTTCTTTGACGCACAGCTTGACAGGATTGTGATCTTTGCTCATAATGCGTCCATATGTAACAGATATCAGGAGACGACTTATAAGATCATGTCCCGCTGGTATAGGATGCCCTCTGTCCCCTCAAAATGCTATCCACAACAATCGGATCAGTGTTGGAGCTGTCAGAGTCACACAAGCACCCTTTGCATATTTTTTGGGAGTGTCCACAAATTCGTCCCTTCTGGAACCGGGTTCTAGGGGTGGTCCACCAATTGACAGGCTTCTCATTAACTGATAGTTAAGGCGGTTCTCTTGAACCTAACTCCAATGTCCAGGAAGTGGTATAAGAAATCGCTTCTGCGGGACTTGCTGAGTGTGGCTCGAACCTGTATCCCTAGTGTTTGGAAGCAATCCGCTCCCCCCAACGACAGTTCAATGGCTAAACAGGGTGTCTAAGATTCGGGAGAGGGAAAACCTGATTGCAGCTTTAAGAGACCGAACAGAAACCTTTTCCCAAACCTGGTTTTACTGGGATCTGTTTGTTGAGTACAGGGAACTGCTCTGAAAGAGTATGGCGGAGGAGGTGCCGCTTGTTCCTAGGCGAGGGTTCCTTCTAGTTCTGTCTTCTTTCTTTCTCTCGCGTTCTCTTGATGTCCACTTCTCCTCCTTCTGCCCCCCACCACCACCCTCCCCTTAGCGAATTTCCCCTTTATCTTTTTTGGTTTCCTGTAATTGTTCACTCTTAAAAAAGTTAAAACAAAGTTTTGCTAATGACTGCACAAGGTTTTGGATTTATTAGTGTTTTTTGGGGGTGCAGGAGGATTTGTACTGTGTCTTTGTTTTCTGCTGTCTGTGGACTAACGAAAATGTACTATGATTATATGTTACGTACGTCTCTGGAAGTTGTATTTAGTTTTATTACTGTGCTTGTTCATTGGTGAATTTGTTAAATAAAGAATTAAAAAAACAAACAAACTTAGATCAAAGGTATGAAAGCTCCTAATTAATTAATAACAGTGACATAGCAAAAGTAAACTGAATGTCTTTATCAGTTCCATGTATTTTCTTGTTTGACATGTGACGTATTATATTTAAATATATAATTTGGCCCCTCAGCTTTTGTGTATATACAAAAAGGAAAAAAGTATTTATTTCCTACGCCTTACAGCTCCATCTAGTGGCCATAATGCAGTGTTTTCCTAATATTACATTTAGGTTAAAAAGAAAATACACTAAAAGGGTTATTCACAAAGCTGACGAAGGCAGCCGTGTGAATAACCGACCCAAAGTGAAATGAGTAAAATGAGCCGAACGCTGTGACGGCTAGCTCCACCAAACTGTTTTCTATTGGCCGGGACCAGCTGTCTTTACAATGAGAGCTTAGCAGAGCCGGCGGGGACATGAAAGCCAACTTTGTTGAGTTCTCATTGTACTGACAGATCAGCTTCCCCTGGTTACCAAGTAACCAGGGGACGCTAAACTGTCAGTACCATGAGAGCTCAGCAGAGTCGGCTTTCATATCCCCACCGGCTCTGCTAAGCTCTCATCGTAATGACAGATCAGCGTCCCCTGGTTACCTAGTAACCAGGGGGTGCTGAACTGTCATTACACGCTGAGAACCCCCAGTGGTGATTAAATACCACCAAAAGAAAGCTCTATCTGTCCCCAAAAAATGGTATAAAATTCATTTCAGTACAGCGTTGCATGACTGAATAAATGTCAAAGTACCGCAGCGCTGAATACTGAAAAATGGCCTGGACAGGAAGCAAGTGGTTAAGATACATAAATATTTTGCAAAATGGGTAGTACATTTGAATCTTAGTAAGTTTTGAAATGTCAGATGTTTTAGGTGCTTGTCCTAAGGGTAGCCAGTCTTAGTTTACAAATAACACTTTTGGAAGATTTTATACATGATCAACTATTACCATGTTTCTGAATGCCTTTGGCAGAAAACCTATGAATTCATTCTTTACAGGTGGAGCTCCGATTCAGGGTAAATGTCCCCCGGGCTGGATTCTATGTGCTTGTGTTTGAATATGCCAATGAAGATCCTCAGCAATACACTCTCAATGTGTTTACAGCCAATAACCCTTCTACTGCCGCCAGAGTCAGGCTCTATAACTGTAAATACAGGTACAGAAGTGTCTTTGTTCACAAACTCCTAGGTTTATGTACCAGTAAATGAATTGGGTTATTTAAGGTAATTATGTGATTTCCAATAGTGTGAAAGAACTTGCCAGGTTGGACATACAGTAAATGGTACTAATGTTACTTATGTCATTCCTGAAATACATTTACCCTTACATAATGGGCCCTTAGTCACTCCCAGGGTTTTAGTGATAAGATATCAATGGAAATAATATGTAGACCATGCAATACATATCACCATAGCCTACATGTATTGTGAGTATTAAAATACTTCTTCCCTGAAATATAGCGTATTCATATAACCAGATCAGATGGAAGGACTTTTCTCACCATGGCACATAACATACCCGAATTTAAAAGGGTCTGTTTATTAGGAGTGAATGTGACTTTCACCAAAACATGCTCTAGTGGAGAATCAATCACTGACATTCAAAGCAATGGATCTGGATGATACACCTGCAGTGTTTGCTGAATGTCAGATTCATTGCGTTATAAATGTGCCCCTTTGAAGTGTATGTAAAGAAAACTTTGTAACATACATGTACTATGTACTACATATAGAGTACACTGGAGCAATAGATTTACAATTATCCTCGGCTAACATGAATGGGTTAAATGATCGATAGTACATAACATGTACTTGTACTACGGATCATTTAATCTTTTAATATTAGCAGAGGATAATTGTAAATCTATTGCTGCAGTGTATTGGGAATATGTACTGTATATATGTACTACATATAGAGTACACTGCAGTAATAGAGTTACAATTCTCCCTTGCTAACATGAATGGGTTAAATTATGCATAATACAACTACATGTTATGTACTATGGATCATTTAATCTATTCATATTAGCAGGGGATAATTGTAAATCTATTGTCTGCAGTGTACTCTATATGTAGTAAAGTAATGTACTAATATTAATATGTTCTTAATAGGGACCCCCCTTGCCCTCACTCACTGTTCCATGATGGCCGGTGCCTCACGATGTGCCAAGCTGATGATGTCGTAGTCGGCGCTATGCGGGAGAGCAGCGGCGAGTCAGCGCTGGTCCGGTGGGAGGAGCTCCAGGTGGGGGTCCTAATTTAGCTGGCCGGTGACTGCCCGTTCGCCTGCCAGCTAAATTAGGACCACACTTGGAGCTCCTCCCACCGGACCAGCGCTGACTTGCCGCTGCACAGCAGCCGGAAGGTAAGGGGAAAAAAATTGCGCAAGCTTCGGTGCTATGTATCTGGGCATTTTGACAAGTACAAGTATGACATGTACTATGACAAGTACAAGGACATCCCTAGTTTTGGGTACAGTGAGGAAGTGTGAAAACACTTAGGGGGCTATTCACAAAAGTGTGAAGAGTTTGGAGAAGGCAGGAGAAGTTAACAATTTAGGCCAAAAGAGGGGTTCCCTTGCTTTGGAGAGACTTTCCCTTTACTTTCTGTGGGTAAAGTTTTGGTCTAACATATACTTTAATGGATAAAAACTAGGGTTTTTCGGTATCGAGTATGAGTACCAATATTTTTTTTCGGTACTTGCCAATACCGAATACCAATAGCAGGAAGCCGCGTGGCAAGTAAGGACTCTCCGCTCAGCTTCCCGATTAGCCAGAAAGCTGTTTCCATGCTCCCTCGTCACCAGGTGACACCGCCCGGCTTCCTGACGAGGGAGCATGGAGCCAACTTCCCAGCCAATCAGGAAGCGAGTCATTACCCACCCCCTGGCTTCCTGATTGGCCAGGAAGCCAGCTCCATGCTCCCTAGTGACGAGGGAGCTAGCTCTCCATACTTCCCAACTGGCCGGGAAGCCAGGTGGCGTGTAATTACTCGACGCCCGGCTTCCTGTTAGCGGAAGTTCAATATCGGTGCATCCCTAATAAACACATTTGAAATAGAAGTCTTTTTTCTTTGTAGTCAGAGTATTTTTATAGCTCATGTTCTAGCATAGCTGTTGCAGTGCAATGACATTTATTCTTGATTTTCTTGATGTCTTTAACTAGCATTATGGTGTACCTAAAGCTATAAAAACTTTTTTAGGTTTGGATAGAGTGGTGAGAGACAACCCCCAATCAGGTGTTTATTGCTGTCTGTGTTTCCACCATGCAGAATTATTTTATTTGTCCTGCCCCGTGCAGTAGCAGTAACTGTAATAATCTATCCCTCTTGTGCTGCTGTAACTTCAGGAAAGTGAATTCCGATTGGTTGCATTGTTACTTCAATTTGCACAATTTGATTTTCATTTGTGCTGTTTTTTTAATATTCCTGGTACATGTACTGTATATATCTTACGATGGCATTTATTATATGTAGGAAATCAACTTTTTAGAGCTGTAATATTGCCAATGGCTAATTGTTCATATTTCAATTGACTTTTCTAGTATGTATGAATATTTATTTAAAAAGAAAACTGCAGAGTGATAATATATTGCAATCAATTGATAGAATATAATATTCTCTTCTTTAGCTTCCATTGCCGCAGTATTGTAGTGGACAGCATGAATCGCATTGCCAAGTTTGAGTTGTTATCAGATGTAGAAATTCAAGTGACAGCAGCTACAGTCAGCTTCTTGCTGGTGAGTTTACTTTGATAAATCTTTATTTTTACAAATAAGGCGGTCCCCTCTACTCATCATTGAACATGTAGTATCCATTGGTTGGCCACTGCACTGCTTTGAAACAAGCCTTTGTGTGTAGACAGGCTTGTAGAAAGGAAGAGTCAATAGTCAGCTCCTTGGGATAGATTAAGAACCTATTTGCATTCTGAAATAAAGCTACATAGGGATCTTAGAAGGTTAATATGGACTTATCTTATCTTCAGTTCACAGTGGGTAGTGTTTAGCTGTGTCCTGCTAGGTTGGCAAGGGTCAAGGTTGGTTCAGAGCACCTTTTACCTCTTGCTGGGCTGAATAGATATTCACAGTCTTCGAGTATTGACAGCTGTTTGTGCATTTTTTAATTGTTTTTATACTTTTACGTATTGTTTTTCACCATAGTTTATACTTCTGTATTTCAGCACTCTATATGCATTGTTCCCATAGAAGAGTTCTCAATTGAATATGCAGAGCCTAAAATAAAATGTATTGCTGCTTATGGGCGCAGTCAAGGTCAGAGGTAAATGTATAGAATCAGCTCTTTTGAGCAATCAGTGATTTCATTGTACAGTCAAAATCTAAATAGGTAACCAACTGTTTCTAAAGTTGTGAGCATATAAACCATTCACTCTGTGCTGGTTCATCCAGAATTGTGCAACTCATCTGTTGTGGAGCGTATGTTTACTAAAATTGTACTGGTTACTAGTTTAATAATACATAATAAATGAAATTACAGTCCTCAGTTCTTTTGAAGGTTTGCTTTTAAACTATATCATCAAATAGCAATATTGTTTATCTAAAGCCTTAAACCTATTTTTAAGTTTTGGATAGAGTGGTGTGGGATAAGAAGCCCCCTATCAAGTTTTTTTTATTGATGTCCGTGTTTCTATCAGGCAGGTTCACATTTTCTGTTTATCCCAGTGACCATTGTGAGATAAATCTTGGCTGCGAATAATATACTTCAGCAAAACATTTTTATTTGACTTCCTGTTTGGTCTGGCATTCATCAAATGGAATGGAAGTGAGGAGAAGTCTCCTAAATGTGGACAATAAAGATTTGACTGAGCGGAAACTTTTAATTTATGCAATGAGCCTCACAGCTTACCAGCACACACAAGGGTGGACCCATAGGACTCTGCAAGGGAAATGATGTTGCTTCTTGATGTTTAAAGTTTTTAGTTTGCTGTAGAATTAGCTCAATCCCTGACCACTGTCCCTGATATCCTAATTCAAGGGGGCTCCTGCAAGGGAAAGGAGTTACCCTAAAACAAGAAGCATGAGGCAGTATCTATTGTAAGTGATTTCATCAGCATTTGAAGTAGATTAAAAACTTTTTGACTTTAATATCACTTAAAGTAGACAAAACCACAATACATTTCTAGAGACTGGCATCTCAAAGGAGCTATGTTTTATAAATCATAATACTGTCTATTGCTCGGTGGTCTATTTTATTCCATAGGGTCAATTATTAATACATGTTTATATTCTTTATAGAATTGTAACATTTACCAGAACATTTTGGTAAAGATGACACTGATTCACTAGGTAACAGTGGTAATCATTTATTTGTTTTATAGTCCATCATGTATTCAGTCTTCCGTCTATGAAACTCCCCCTCTGGCATTGTTCCTGGACTCTGTGAAAGACGCCGTATCTTCTGACGGACAGAAACCCATAGTGCAAGAACATGTCCCTGGACCAGGGCTGCCAGGTCACTCAGGCAACAGAGTACAGCTAAAATCACCACGGGTAATTTATATGCTATAGCCTAGAACCAGATATGTTTTTGCCTTGTTTTTCATAGTTGTTTCCATATTTTTGTGCATTAGGTCATACACACGAAACATCTTTTTTTATTGGGTTTTTTTTTTCATTAATGGTGAAAAATAAAATTATTTACCATATTCTGACTCCAACTGTTGAAATAGTGATTTATCATTTCCTGAGACGTCTATACCTGGCCTGTATGTAGCAGTTACCTTCACCGCAGACAATCTTCATTAGGTAGCTGAACTCACCAAATACTTTTCATCCACAATAAAGTTTATTGAATGCAGCAGATACTGGCAAACAATAGAATGTAGCTGATGGTTTAAATGACAGTATTTGAAGGTCAAAAAAGGATAATGCCTTCCTCTCTGTATGTGCACATGTGGCCTGAAAATGGAGGCATTACATGATATAAAGGGAAGGATACACAAGAAAAAGGTGTAATACACTGAATGACCAGAAGATGGAGGCATAACAAATATAACTATACTAACACATAACAATACCAATGCATTGCATTGACCATACAACTGTTGGAGGCAGCACATACTATAACGGGCGATAACCAGTCAGATACCAGCTCACAAGCCTTTTTTCCACTCGCACCAGCCAATTGTCTTTTGATAGGGAAGTAGGATTTTGTTTGGCCTAGGGGGTGTCAGGGCGTCTTTAGCAAAGGGGATGAGAAATCTCTTTAATTGAGACACAGACTAAAAAACAAAAATACTTTTTAGTGGTGCCGGCAACTGACAATGTCTTCATTGCTATCTATGCTTTCCTATCCAGCTGACAACGTTTCCCTAATTTTTGTCCTGAAGTCACAGGGACAGGAAGTGAAGGAAAATCTGTCCAATGGAAAAATGTTATCTGAAATGTTTCTCATGAATAATGGTTAAAGGCAATTCTTTCTTTCTTTTCTCATGTGTTATTATCTGCCAACCACACAGAATGACATCACTTTGGCAAGAAGAATACCCCATACAGGAAGATATGTCTTCATTGTCCATTACTACCAGGCTGATAACCCCACATTTCCTGTATCAGTCCTAGTGAATGGGGGAACCCAGTATTCAGGTATGACTGTCATACAAATTTGTATGTACTGTTACTTGTATCTCCTACAAGGGACAAGAGAAATGTGTTATTTTCCACAGGTACTTTCAACGCTTCATATTGCCCTCATGTGTTTGGCTGCCGAGATTTGGTAGTTGCTGGTAATCGTATTGGTCTTGATATCACTAATCCAGACCTGTCAGTGACAGTGACGGCTCCTCCAGAGAAGTTGCTTCTTTTGGTGAGTTTATTAGATGGTGCCCTGATTCATTATGCTGCATTTGCACATAAACCATCCTAAAGTGCATCCATAGTAGCCAGTAGCACACTGTCGCTCTCCCTCCCGCCCCAGGTCGGGTGCCTCCATCAGCTAAGCAGCTGTTATGGAGGCACCTGTGCGTGCAAGTTCCCGGCCGTGCCCACAGTAGCTGTGTGCATTCATAGACACACACAGCCCTGCAGCAGGCCACGCACCACCTTGCTGTCCAACAGTTTGACTTTTTAGGTCAAATGTAATGTAATACTGCATTACGGCCACTAGACGGAGCAAAGTAGTATTTATTTCCTATGCTCTTCAGCTCTATCTAGTGGCCATTATAATTTATTTTATTTTTGTTGTATTCGGACAGGACAAACACTCACAGAGATTCACAGGGCAAATGGCTCTGCAAATTGTTTACAAATAGACCCCACAGTGTTTTTTGTTCTAGTCTTTATAAACACAGCAATACATATAGGGCTTCTTAAAACTTCACCATATAAATACATTGCACCTGTTTTCAGAGACAATAAAAGTTCTCTAATTTTGAGCTCTAAAAATAAATGTATTTTTTGTTGTGGAAAGAAAAACCTAGTCAACTGTATGCATTTCTGGATTTTAGTAAGTTCTGTTGCACATCCTTTTTTCTGTGCTTTAAATATTGAGAGCTATTCCAATGCACTTCCTTAAAAGATAGAAAAGAGCAAAGGTGTACAAAGTATCGTGACTAGTGACCTGTAAAATGTAATCAGATTCTAATTTACTGCCCTCAGACCTCTGAAATAGGATTTTTGCCATATTAAATATGTCTATCATTATAATGTCTATTCAGAGACCATAACATTTACCTTCCTCAGAGACCGTAACATACAGGGGTATAGGTACTCTTAAAAACCAGACCGTACAGGGACCTGTGTACACATACACACACACACGTACAGGGACTTGTGTACACACACACACACACACACACACATGCACAATCACACACAGACTCACAAAGGTTGAACTTGATGGAGCTGTGTCTTTATTTAACCTTAAATACTATGTAACTATGTAACTATCATGTTTTAGGAGTCCATCCTGCTGGTCCCAACAGACAGTTACTCATATGATCTTCTGCAAGAAAAACCCTTGGATAAATCTTTTGACTTTATTAATAAATGTGGAGAAAACAGCTTTTATATTGAGTAAGGAACAATTATAATTATTACTGTTTTGAAAATGTGTGTTGGGATGATTTCATATGACAAGACCTATGAGAAGACATAAGGTGGTGCTTGTTTCAGATCTTGCTACACAGCCCATTCACTGGTAAGACTAGATCACTACACAACCTTGCCACCACAACACTTCTAGAGATCTACTTTTATAGATCAGAATCCGGTCATTATTTGCCTGCTTACAGAACTAAAGAAAAGTAAGCTAGCATTATAAAAATCATACATCAATTACAATTAAGTTGGTTATAGTTCAGGTACTGTATCTTAGCTGCATGCAGACACTTTTGCAAGCTCAGTGAAAGGTGTGTGGTGCTGCCATCTTGTGAATGTTAGACAAAATGCTGTGTTCTACAATTTTGTGATAATAGAGGCACCCGTAACACACTATGTGCTTGCTAATTGATCTGCATCTGTTTTTCCCATCTCCAGGTTTGAATTGGGACCATTGTACCCCTTAACATCACCACATTTAGGCAATATGTTGTATATGTTGAATGGAACAAAAGCATAAAACGGCTGTAGAAGCTGCACATAGCTTTTTCATGGATTTCACAGAATGTTTTTTTCATGGATTTCACAGAATGGTTTTATGAATGGCCTGTGTAGTTAGTGTTCTAGTTAGTGACCGTTGATGCAAATGTGTGCCCTTTCCAATTAGGGCAAAGCAACAAGTTCACTTTAATGCCAGACCAACCTACATATACTCACCTTTCATTAACCCCTGCTAATCGGTTCAGCTGCTGGGAGAAAAGAAAATGACTGGTGTTTATAGTTATGGAGGGGCATGTGGCTCATTACTGGTCCTCTCATGTAACAACATTGCTGCTTGATCATTGGCCCAGCACAGACACATACAAAGGGGTTCACAGTGCTTGTTTACAGGGACAGGGTAGGGAAAGAAATGTAAGAATCTGCAGCTCTTGGAGCCAGAATAAAAGTAACCCTGTTTTGCCTTCAATAAGTGCTGGCCAATCTCTATTGTTTTCCCAAAAGGGTCCAGCACCAATATGTCAGCTAATTCCTTCCCTTCTCCTTCCACAGACACATGCATGTATGATTATCTAAGCAGCAACCCAACAACACCTCCATCCAAATACAATGTAGGGAATTTATTAGAACGGGAGCAAGCAGAATGTGGAGCAGTTGCCCATGCCAACCTATCAGCTTCCATCTTTCATTTTCAAAGCTTAACTGAACAAACTGAAGAGATAAACTAATTGGTTATTGTGAGCAACTGCTCTAGGTTCTGTCTGCTGCAGTTTTGATAAATTCCCTTCAATGTCTTTATCACAAACATCTTGCATCAATGCAGTCCAGGACTGTGACACTTTGAACCACTCAGGGTCCTTCATTGTTGCGGAATGGACATTTGCCCAATACAACCATGCATGTTTGTTCCATGAGCTTTCATCAGAAAGATAGTTTGGCAGCTAGATCTTGCCTAATCAGTTGCCAAAATCATTTTGTCTTTAGGTAGCTGTGCTTGTCATCCCTCTGGCAAATGAGAGTGCCTCTGTGGCTAATAAGGGTGCTTTGAATGGATTGGGGGAAGAAAGATGGCAAAGCTAAAAGTCCTAAGGTCATGAAAGTCAAGCCTTTAGTAATAAACCAAAACTACTTTTAAAGAGGCACACACTGGAGGGTTTTCTAATTAGCAGAAGTAACACTATGCCTTTTGTGTTTCTACCCTTGGATAAAATAAATGAATGGAAGTTTCTCTTTAATTATTATACCATGAGCCAAATATAGCTAACCAAGCTACTATCATACATCTCGAAAATACTTAAGTCAGCACATTCCATAATCCTGACTTTCTTATTTGCTGCATACCAAAAGAGTCTTTTTATTTATCTTTTAGTCCAGTTACCTCACCTGAGTTCTGCAGAGATTCAGCAAGATCACTCGTTGCTTATTATAATGATGGAGCATTGCCATGCCGATGCAACCTAGAAGGAGCCACAAGTCCAAACTGCAATCCTATTGGTGGACAGTGTAGATGCAAACCTAACATTATTGGAAGAACATGCAGTCAGTGTGCTACTGCCTACTATGGATTTCCAGACTGTAGATGTAAGTTTAAGCACAATATTATGCTTATGGACTTTAAATGACTTTCTTGCTATATAATCACCTCAAGGTTAATAAATATGCATGCTGTAAGGCAAGGGCTGCTATGGCTTTAATGACATCTTTAGCTTGTAGATATTTGTTTAGCAATACACTCCTATGTTTAACTTTATGTGCTATGTAGTGTGCCAGGGATTAGTCAACTTGCAGGTGCATCAGCAGAAATCCTTTTCACCATCATATCAATATCTTGCTTGGAAGGACATTTTTGTCATGTCTAAACATGAAACAAGTGGATAGAAAACATATCTTGATTGCAGACTCCAGCACTGTTCATGAAAGACCATACTTTGAAGAAAGGGGCAGGCCCCCGGAAACTGGCCATAGTGAGAGGGGAGCAAGATGAGAACTTAGTATTTTCAAGGCGCCTCCCACTGATTTAATTCTCCTTTTATTATATTTCTCATTTGAACACTAATATTTTTTTATCAGTAGGGCCAAATGTATTTTTTTGGTGTGAGAAAAGCCAAAATGTATTTTTTTCTCATATTGGATTGAGTGGGGGAGGGTGTAAAACTAAAAACCTGGTAAACACGCTTCGAATTTCGTCCGGTACTGCTGTCGGCACCTTTCTGCCCGGCATCCTTCGATCAGCTGATTGAAGGAGTAGGTGGAAAATTTCTCAGACAAACGGAGCTAGCAGCCAATCAGACAGTGACTGCTGCCAGAATACAAAAGAAACAGCAGGGGATTCGTCCATCAACGCTTGTAAGAGTTGATGGAGGAATCTGTTCTGTTTTTTCTGTTCAGCCCACGAGTTGAACGAAAAAAAAAAACCAAACAGAACCGTGCTTTAGGTTTATATGCCATCTGCCTCATTAGGGAAATGTTTCATCACTTCTAGTCCCTAGAGATTTCTATAGTAAGGGAAAACTCCTCTTAGACAGGTGGCAGCCATTGTAAGCTTTGCCCAATATTCTGGTTCTTTTGGCAACTCAAAATTTTGGATTTACCCTCAGTGTTATTCCTGGTGACACCGGTAATCAGGGCAATTAGAGAGAGTGAATTTCCCTAACAGAAGCACACAGCAATAGAAACCTCACCACACTATCCAAATCTCAAAATAAAACGCTTTGCCTTGAGCTATGCTTTATTTTTTTTCATGCCTAGAAATAGTCTAATCGATCCATTGTAAGTTATTTACCACATTCCTTTTTTGACATTTACCTAGACCTCAATATATTTTACATGTAGAATGGAGAGTAAAGCAGATTTCTTTGTTTATTCAGCATGTAACTGCGCTCATCGTCTTTGTGATGAAGTAACTGGTAGATGCATCTGTCCGCCTCATACGGTCAAACCTTCATGTGAACTTTGTGAACAACAGTCATTCAATTTCCATCCTCTTCTGGGATGTGAAGGGTGCAACTGTTCAATCACAGGCATAATACAGCCATCCCGCCCAGAGTGTGATGGGATAAGTGGACAGTGCAGGTAAGTCACACATTTCACTTACTGCAAAGTACCTCTTTCCTGGGTGTGCAATGGTGGTCACCACACTATAGGAGATTTCCGATATTATCAAAGTGGTGAACACTTTATTAAGAAAGTTGTACTAGCAAAATGGGCAGGGTTTAAATGGGTGCTTTAACAGAATATACATATAATACCATTCCTTCCCCCCC